GGGGCGCAACCCGGGCGCCACCTATGCCCCGGGCTGACCGCGTGGCCATGGCAGGACACGGCTCGCGCCTGGCCGCGAGGGCGAGACTGCGGAGCCTCTTAGGCTCGCTTTCAACCGAGGTTCCTGCCGAGCCAAGGCCGCGCCACGCTGGGCGTCAGGGCCTCGCGGCTCGCGGAGCCGCGAAGGTGAAACTCCGCCGCTGCCGACACCCGCGACAGACTGGGCCCGGCGCGCGGGGCCGCGAAGGCGCCTCTGTCCCGGCACTGATCTATGCGTCGATCGCCCCCTTCCCCAGCCCCCTCGCGGCCCGATGCCCGCCTCGGCGCGTCTGTCGGAATGTCTGTCGGCAAAGCTGTCGGCGAACCCGCCCCGGCGAGGCCGTGGGCGGGGCTGCGGGCCACTGTCGGCGAGGCAATCGGCGAAGCTGCCGGCCAAGGCTGTCGGCGAGCACGGCCTCGGAGCCCTCCGCGCCCCTGGCGCGGTCTGACAGCGCGCGGCCGCTCTCCAGCTGCCCCTCGCGCGCGAGGCTCGCGGAGCCCCTGCGCTTGCCCCTCGCAGTGGCCCCCCTCGTTTTTGCACTTGGCCCCGGGCTCCGCGATCACGGGGGCCAGCGCGATGGGCGCCTCCCCGACCAGAGCCTGACGTAGGCCGCGTCGCCCTGAGGAACTTGGCGCCCCTGGGCAGTTGCTGCCCAGCGCGCGCCGGTGGGCCGCGCGGCGGTCCGCTCTCCCGCCAGCGCGCCGGCGCGGCCCGCGTTCCGAATGGTCGCGCGGGGCCCCGCCACTGCTGGCTCAATTCGTGCCCCCCCGGGCCGCGCGGCGGCCCGCGCCCCCGCCGGCGCGTGGGCGCGTCGGCGAAGCTGTCGGCGAGCACGGTGTCGGAGCCCGCGTGCCCGGCGTCGTCCGACAGCGCGCGGCAGTCCCCCAGCCGCCCCCAGCCTCGGCTTTCGCAATCACGGGGCCTAGCATGATGTCATGATATCTGCCTCGGGCGTCGGCGGCGGGGGGCACGCGTTCCTGCTGCGCTCGCACTGCGGCGCGCGTGGCCGATGGGGCCGCGGCCGTCGGTGGCGGTCCATCCCTCGGCCGAGGCGCTCCAGGTCGGCCGAAGGCGCTGGCGTCGACCGCATGCGGCAAGATGCGGCGAGCTTTGGGTCGACGCTGTCGGCGGACTCGTCGGCAAAGCCAACGGCGAGGCGGTGGGGCCGCCGTTTCGAAGCTGGCGTTGGCGCTGGCGCTGGCGTCGAGGCTATCGGCGAGGCTCAGGCCGCGGGTCACGGCACCGCCATCGCTCCTGGCGCGACATCCTCTGGCGGCGCCCCGCGCGTCGTTCGGGTCGCCGACTCGCGCGGGGAGGTCGCTGCCAGGCGACGCCGTCGCCCCCGAGACAGACTGAAAGGCGCCTCGGGCGGCGATCTGCGCATGGGTCAGCTCTGCGGCCAGCGCCAGCAAGCGCGCTGCCTTCGCGCCCACTGTCTGGCCTCGGGCACATCGTCGACTCCCTCTGGACATTGTAGCCTGGCGGCGTGCGGCCACCCTCCAGCTGCTCCAGAGCGCCCCGGCTTTCGACGATGACCTTGGTCTGCCGCGTCTTCTCGCAGACGCTCGCTGAGCATCTCGTTGAGCAGCGCAGGGGCCTGCTGTCGCGGCCAGTCTGCCTCGCGCCGCAGGCGCTGATCCCAACGTTGCCGCAGGTGCTGCTGGTCTGGCGGAATGCCCCCCATGCCTTCGCACCGGCGCGAAGTGCGGGGCCGGCACCTTCTGGACGTCGTCGCTCGGCTGGCGCGGCCGACCGCAGCCGCGGCCCGCCCGTCTCGCGAGTCCGCGAGGACCCTCGGTAAAGCGTTTCGGCCGACACTTCCCTGTGAACGGAGCGTCCCGCGTCGTGTGCCGACGCGCGCCCGCGCTGCGGCACTGCCGCAGCGCGGGCGCGCGCAGGACAGTGGCCCACTGCTGCAGTGGCCCGATGTCCTGCGCGCGGCTGAGTTCGTCCACCTCCAGCGCCGCCGCGACGGTGCGTTTGTCGAAGTGCTCGCTTCTCGAACTGCACGCGTACTATGCGCCTTCCCCGCTGCAGCGTGCGTTCGACGCTTGCTGGCAGAAAGTCCAGGGCGAACTGCTGGAAGATGTTGGAGACCTCCTGCGTGCGGGAGCCGTTGCCGTCGAGCGCGTGCCCCCAAACTTCCATGCGCCTGTTTGTCCCGCCTGGGCTCGCTGACCATAGGACCGGCCGACCGACAGGAAAATTCGGTGCCTGGCCAAAACGCACCTGTTTGTCCCGCTTGGGTACGTTGACCACAGGACCGACCGACCGACCAGAAGGTCCGATTCCTGGCCGAAATTCGAAGAGTGCTGTCGGGTCAAATCCATCCATGCACCAAGCCACCAAGTTGAGCATGTGACGTGCGCTACGTGCAGCGACGAGGTCCTGCCTGGCGATGCCAACCTTGTCGCTGGCGCCGTCCTGGGTGCTGCGCGTCTGCATCCGAGCACGAACGGCTTGCCTTGACCTTGGGCGCCTGTCGTGTGCGTGGGCGGGGATGTCTGCCTTCCGCACGCGCACCTGGCTGCCGCCGCCGCTGGCCATCGAGCAAGTCTCCAACGTAGTCCACGGCGTGAGCGTGCAGTCGCGGTCGCACGAGCCGGTGTTGCACGATTGCCCTCGAGCGTATTCGCCGTCCGAGATTACCGTGACGGCGCTCCGCGTGTCCTGTTAGTCGTCCGCCAGTGTGTCCGCCAGCGTGTTGTCGGCCGCCTAAAAGGCCTGCGTCATGTTGCTAATTCCGCGCTGCCCCCTGCAGTCCGGCGATCGCGGACCCCCAGCGCATGCTCGGGACATCCGCCGCGATGATGCCGTTGTCGAAGTACTAGCCGCTGCCGAACAGCAACAGCTGGATGCACATGACCTCGCTCTGGCACTTGCCGGGAGTGTTCAGAGCCCTCCGAACGATGACAAAGCCCTCTTGGCTCAGGGAACTGCTGCCATCGATTGCTGGAAATGCAAACCTCGTCGCCGACACAATACTGGGTGCGCTGCGAACGTCTGAAGTCCATCCCCCTCCGCCACGCACCGCACCGCACTCGTGCAAAAGAGTAGCGCGGGCGCGGTCTCGAAACCCCACCCATCCTCCATAGTAGCCCACCGCGATTGGGACCCCCCCCCATACCGCCCTGGACTCCCACCCCCGCCGCGGCGGAAGGACGAGGGTCCATGAGCAGGAAGGGGGGCTCCGGCTGTGGTGGCGTCCACCAGACGGTGGATGGGCCGCGCGAGGATTCGCAACAACGCCATGCAAACACCGGGCCGCACTGGGTCGTCGGAATCTGAAGCCGAATCTGAAGCCGTCTTCCTGTAAACTCTGGCAAGCTGGATTGCATGGAAGAGGCAGGCGGGAGAGGCGTGGCGAGGTCCAAACGGAAATATGCACTCCACGCAAACTCTGGACTCGCATGCGAACCTTCTCGGCCAGGCGGCATCTAAAGAATCGGCGGCAGAGGGGGGCGAGTGAAATGCCATGCGCGCGAACTTGCCTGAGCCAACGATACAGAACCACATCGACCGAATCAAAACGAGCCCTGACCTCTGCTTTCGGGCCATAACTCTGGTCTCCGGCGGACCTTGGGAACGATCGGCGCACCCCCAGAACGCTCTCGCATCCCGAGGCAAGAAAATACCCAAGAACCAACGAAAACGTCCGAAAACCTTCGGAATAGAGGCGGCTGGAGTCGACATCGAATCGGACCAATCGGACCGACCTGTAGAGAAAGAGAAAGCAGCGTAAACATGAACTTTCGGAGCTCCGCGCGGATTTCTTGGATCGGCGCTGGCCCCCCCTCCCTGGCGCGCGGAGCGCGACAGGGGCGGCGCCGGAGGCGCCGCCATGGGGCCCAAGCGCCGATCCAAGAAATCCGCGCAGAGCTCCGACAGTTTTTGTCTGCCGATGTTTCCTCTCAGATCGATCAACCGATACATCAGAGTGAGGCGGCTGAACCGAACGGTCATTCACTGTCCCTGGGTGCTTGGCTGAAGTGGAATTCCGTGATGCGGATTCTTGTTGTTTTTGTTGTTGTTGTTGCTGTTGTTGGTTGTTTGTTGTTTGTTGTTTGTTGTGTGTTGTTTGTTGTTTGTTGTTTGTTGTTTGTTGTTGTCGTCGTCCCACCCGCGACCCGCCCCACGACCCATCCGCGACCCACCCCGCGACCGAACCCCGCGACCCACCCGCGACCCACCCCGGCGACCCATCCGCGACCCACCCGCGACCCACCCCGCGACCCGCCCGCGACCCACCCCGAGAACCCCCGGGCGACCCACCCGCGACCCATCAGCGACCCACCCGCGACCCACCCCGCGACCCACCCCCGACCCACCCGCGACCCACCCGCGACCCACCGCGACCCACCCGCGACCCACCCGCGACCCACCCCGCGACCCACCCAAAATGTTCGGCGCTTGCGGCGGGCTTCTTTTGCATTCGTTCCAAGTGGAAAACCTGCGGCCCACGCGCGACCCAAACCGCACCCGCGACCCACCCGCGACCTACCGCGACCCACCAGCGACCCACTCGCGACCCACCCCGCGACCCACCCAAAATTTTCGGCGCCCGCGGCGGGTTTTCTTCTGCACTCAGTCCAGGTGGAGAACCCGCGACGCACCCGCGACCCAAACTACGTTCACTGAACAAGCCAAAACTTCGGCGCCTGCGGCGGGTTTCTGTTGCATTCGTTCCAAGTGGAGAACCTGCGACCCAAACCGCGCTCAGCGTACAAACCAAAATTTTCGGCGCCTGCGGCGGGCTGTTTTTGAATTATTCCCAGGTGGAGGTGGAGAGCCCGCGACCCACCCGCGACCCAAACTACGTTCACTGAGTGTTCACTGAACAAGCCAAACAACGTTCACTGAACGGCTCGACGCCCTCGTCGCCCGCGCCCGCCCCCTCACTTTTATCCGCACTTGCGGGGTGCTACGTGTAATCGAATCGATTGCATCGAAGCGGGCCCTGCCTCAGGCATCGCCACGAAGCCGACCCTCTTTACAAAGGCCTCGAGCTCTCGGGGGTCCAAGATGCCGTACCCCACCGGGTCGCCACCGTCCTCGAGATCGGTGGAACTGAACGCGTCCTGCACCGTCTTGACCCACTGGAAGACTTTTTTTGTCAAGCCCATCCCGAGCGGCGAACATATCCGTATCCGCGCCCTCGCGGGCTTTATTCTGGGGCGCGACCCAGCGGATACGCGGTCGCACGGATGCGTTCCGCGATGGGGATCCGCGAACAATTGTCTCCGCGAGGTCGCGGCCCCTTGTGGAACTCTAGGCGCGTGAGATTCCTCCTGCCCCATAATCCCCCCAAGGAGTTTGAAAGGGGGCTGGGAGGCCCAGCCAGAGCTTCGCCTTTGGCGAAGCCAAGCTCCAGCTCTGTTGTACCGTAGGAACGATAGCCCTAGTAGGAGAGGATGTGCCATCTTAAGCAATCGGTAGATCCTTTCGGCATCGATAGCGATTGTGTGCCTCGCAATGAGGCGCAGTCATATTTGGGTGGCCGGCCGCTTGAGCCGACGCGGCCGCGGGCGCACGCTCGCTTCCGCCCCTTACGTCCCTCAGCTCGCTTGGAAGTCGGGGGGGAAGGAGACGAAGCGTGAGCCCATCGCTCCTATAAAGCAGGCGCAGCAGCTAATATACACAAGGACAGGAAGAGGGGCGGGCCAGAAGAAAGATGGACCCGCTCGCAAGTTGCCTTGCTTGTACAGTTCTGTACTTGGAGTACTCCCCAGGCGGCGTCAAAACTGAATGCCTGGCCGGCCCGATGTGGAGTATGACTCTTCAGGTCAAGGCTTGAATGCCTCCCATGACTTGTAGGGGCATTTCTCTGTCGATGCTCCCGTTGGTGTGACCATCCGCGGTCATATCGCGGGTGTCGCACCACTGGATGCTATGCACGATTCCACGCTCCATCATCTGTCGCATGCAACAGATGTGTCCTAAAAAGGTACACTCAGTCGGCTTCTTCAAGTCTTTGCTTGACAAGAACTTAACTAAAAACAGACTCAGCATCCATTGTCAAAAGGACCTGGATGCTCAGGCCGCCCAACTCAAGTAGATCTTTCAACTGGGCGGGCGTGAGCGGCCCTGTGTGGACCTCGTGCAGAGTCACAATCGTGGGATATGAGTCCAATGTATGGGCCGCTGCTAGTGTCTCCGCTGGATAGCTCGAGCGGACCTGCAGGCGGCGAGACTTGCAGTGCGCATCGATCAAGCGAACGAAAGGTTTACCGGGTGACGTGCTTCCACGTCGTAGCAGGTTTGCCCCGCGAATACTATAGCCTTTGACGTCGTCGTCGGCGTCTCCACTCAGGCGTCGGCATCCTGAGTCGCTGTGCAGGTCGACCTCGCCCGTAGGAGCCATCGCCTGGAATGCGCTCTTCTTTGGGCAAGCCTGCAGCTTCCTGGTGATCGCGCGCAGTCGTCGCACTTGGATGTTGGTCGGTTCTTGGACAAGTTGTAGAGATGCAACATACGCCATCAACCATACCTGGGTGACCAATGCATGCGCCAGCGCGCCCCTGAGGCTGACGAACACGTCTGCAACAATCTTGAATGCCTGAGCGGCAGCGTCGGCGCCGGCAAATTCAGGATGTTGTATAGGACGGCGCTGTTTGATGTATTAATCTCGGTCCAAAGTGACGTTACCGTCCTCATCCTTGGTGTATCTCACAGCACTTACCAAAGGTGTCTTCTACGCACTTGACATACTTGTCAATGGTGTCCTCAGTGCCGGCCATATGGATGTCATCAACCTTTTTGGCCGCGAGCAGGTTGTTGCTCGTCTCGACCTCCTCGTCGTACGACGCGGGTCGGAGACCGAAAAATCAGGTGGCCCTTCTGAGTTTTAGTGGGAAAGCCCGCGATGCGTCTCCGGTGCCCGTGCCTGGTTTCAAGCGCTGCAAGCTGTGCTTTGACTCGTCGTAGTGTTCGAGTCCTGGAGGCGTTCGAAGCACTGTTGCCGTTCCAGGCGGCAGAGTAAAACACACCACGCGTTCCTTGTCACCAGTAGCCTCAGCAAGTTCCTGATAGGTCAACCCCTTCAGGAAGGCCGTGTCGATGTCGAGGGAAGCAATGGTCCATTGCTTCTTGCATGCTGCCGTGCTGGCGAGTAGCCTCTGGCTTGACCGTCGCGCTGTCCCCGAAAAGGTTCCTACGTCGAAGGCTTCAAGGACCATGGGGCCTCGGAGTACCAGGCGTAATCTGATGGTACGTCCCATCTCGCCCTTCTCTTTCTTCACAAAGTTCCATTTGTACACGTGCCTCGAAGTCATTATGCTGTTCGACGCTTTAGCTATATCTTGCATATTGAAACACTTGTTGTCGAATCATGTCTTGAGTTCAGTGTAAAGGGCCTTCGATACTTTATCGGGATTTGCCTGGATGTCAGCTTTCGCGAGGAGGTCGTCTCCCTTGACGACCGCAGCTCGCTTGGCAGCGGCGGTTACGTATACTCGACACGGTCGGCATCTAGTATAATGTGCTGTTGTTCGGACAAGACTACCTTTGACATTTCTGCCGTAAAGCAGAGTTCGACATATTGACCATCTTCGCCTGAGTCCAGTCCTTAGTTGTCGTCTTCGAAAATGGTACACATTGGGACGTAGTACGTCTCCTCGGTGTCGGATTCGCGAGTGCGCCCCCCTTCGGCAGGTGCCCCCGCTGTTCGTCAGCCACAGTGATCAGCACACTTTGATCTGGAACCATCTGTGTAGGTATGGTAAAGAGGTCCTCTGGTGGAGTTGCCTCCAGCAGTTCCCTGTCCTCTTGTAGTTCTGCATACCACACTTCCATAACATGTGACTCGAGATCAGCCTCTGGTTCTTCGTAGATCGTAGAAAGCCGTCCATCATCATGTGGTGGCTCGGCCTCTGAGGCTTCTCTTGTGGTTCCCTCCGGTGTCGGTGTACCCGCCAATTCCTCCAATATTGTCATGTCCTGGTCTAGACCTGCTTGAGGTTTAATGAACTTCAGGCATTGGGTAATTCTCGAACGTGCTGACCCAGTTATTTCGTGTATATTCAGTGCAGTACCTTCTGCTTCATAAGAGTGAAATCCTGGAGTCACGTCGTTGTCATAATGGACCAATGCGCAGCCGTCAGCATAAGTAACCGGAGGTAGCTTATAAATGCACTTAGCTAGCCTGACTGAAACTACATTTTCAATGCGGAAGCAGTCTCTGATTCGGTCCTGTAAAGCTACATGTACCTTAGGAAATAGACGGCTTGCACTCGTCATCTGAAGCGCCCCTTTCTTTGCCGGCACATAGCCAAAGGTCAGAGCAGGTCTCCCCGCTGATAAACTGGCCACGAACGTCAACACTGTTCGTAGTGCCGTGTTGTCGGGGCCAATATCTCGGGCTATCAGTGCTTCAATATATAGTGACTGCCTTGCATCACCGCGTTGTACTTTAACATCTCGATTGCCCACCCGGATGATGACTTGACCTCTTTTCGGGATCATTCTTTACAACTGGGAATTGGCCGTTCCAGCCTCCCCAGTCATCCTTCGTGGTCGTGGGGCGATGATAATCGACCAAGTCTCCTTCATCGTAGCAGTGCTGACCAGTAATAGTTGTCTTAGTGCGTAAGGCACCATTGTTCTTAGCTGCTGCTGTGGCCTGTGCGCGCGTTTCCGTAGACTGCTCGTGGCCCAAGACAGGTAAGTCAGGAAGCATTGCTGGTTGCCGTCCAAACAGAGCGCTATACGGAGACACCTCGCCATAGAAAGTGAACGCGTTGGCGGCGAACAGAGCCTCGTGCAGTAGCCGTGTGAACACAAGAGGTATGTCCAACCTATTGAGTTCAGCTTCCACGACGTGAAGTAGATGGCGCAGGATGCCATTTCTGGCCTCGATCGCCGTAGCGTGCTGTCCTTCAGGAGTGCTCTCGCAGTGTCGTTGTTGAGGGCACCCTCTCCATCGGAGTAGAGTACCTTGGCAGGTCCAAACTGCATCCAGCACTGATGATATGCATCCAGGATACTTGTCGTAGTCTTGTCTGGTATCTCAATCCCAGTAACTTACCGTATACAACGATCGATGATATGGACGATTGTGTGCTCTTGTTTGTAGAACATCACATCACATACCACCTCTTCATTAAGCTTGCCAGTTAGTGCAGCGGAGGGCATAACAGTATGCCCAGGCTTGGCCAAATGCTCTGCACTCCCGACGTGTGTCGCAGACGCCTTTGATCAGGTTGGATCTGACATTGTCCAGACCTGTCTTACTTAAGATGAGTCGCATCTCAGGCTCTTTCGCATGGAACCAGCGCAAGTGTAAATTCCGCAGCTCGCGTGTTACACGCTTGGGTCAAGGCTTCGTAAATTTTGTAGACTGGTTTGTACGTCGAACCGTGACCAGTCTGGTAATCGTGGTCGCGCAGCAAGGTTACCCGCTGGTGGTGGAGGAGGTGCTTCTCCACCTTGCTGTCGGCCACGTCTGACGCTAACCTGTGGTAGTCGGAGATGGTCATCCGAAATACCAGCTCCACTCGAGGCAGGTTGCCCTGCAGGAGGTTCAGCAGCATGTCTGCCTACAGTAATGTCGTGGCTGCTCGCGCCCGCTGTAGGTCCAGCGCTTGAGCCGGGTCTTGGTGCTCTTAGCCGCGTGAGTGGTGATGCAGCTGGCGCCTGGGGTGGTGGTGCTGCTGGCTCAGCAGGTGCTGCTGGTGCAGGTCCTGCTGCGGGTTCGGCAGGAACCGGTGGTGCCTGTCCATAGTTGTCGGGCAGCTTCCAGGGTTTGGCAAACTTGCATTTGCCAGGTGTTAGTACGTGCCCAAGAATGTTCTTACCGTAATTGTTCTTACAGCTCGGACATTCCCAATGGTAGTCGTCCTTATCGCACCACCTGCAATGTCTAGGATTTCTGTCAGTTGAGGGAGAACGCATGTTAACATTATCCGCGCATGCGGGACGCCCGAGCCCTCCCGAGGGCGGTCTCGCAATCGAGCCGTCGGGCTGCCGAGGGGGACTCGGATCGCCCAAGTCGCACCCCCTCACGTTGGTGACCAGCACGGTGGCCGAATAAGGGTCACCATGGAAAAGGTCACGAGTGACCTGGAAGAGATCGTGTGCGCTCTGAGCAGCATCGACAAAA